GCTATCTCGTTCGATCCTCAAGAAAAAGTGCCAAGCTTTCGTTCGTCGTATGACTGACGTCATCACAGTAAGATATCATTCTTACAATGATATTCAAGCAAACGAGATAGGAAAAATCACACAGTCTTTCCTCTCAAAAGGCTATTTTATCCGGAGGTGTGAGACGAACATGAGATGTATTCACCCTATTTCCTTTAAGGTGACGAAGGACTGGTAGAATAATTTTCCCACAATGATATGAGTAGAGCTGACGTTTTCATTGAATTTCACAGAGCTTTATTTTGCCCAAAGTTATTCTCATCGAGGCATTAGTGGACTGCCGTTTCGGCGTGCATAGGTCTCATCAACACTCCCAGCGGGAGTCGAACCGTGACAGTGAAGTGTGAAAAGTCGACATATCAACGACTCAACTACATTGCCACGAGTGCCCTTGTGTCACAGGGCAGATGTGAATTTCAAGGAAGGCCAGGCCTTTTGCCATATCACATTCTTTTGGTAGGATTGCCGATGAAACAAACGTATATTTGCTATAGCAATCGACTACATTACTTATTTTTTGTATGCAGATAGAGTAATACATCTCATATTACTGATTTACTGGTAGTCTTACATACGAAAAATAAATACCGTAGTCGATTGTTATAGCAAATATACGCTTGCTTCATCGACAATCCCACCAAAGAATGTGACCCAAGGGAACTCGTGGCAATGTTGCCGAGTGGTTATCGTGTCAAGCTCACCTTCTTCACTCTCAAGGTTCGAATCCCGCTGGTGGTGTTGATAATACCTATGTGAGGTCGAAACTGCCGTCCACTATGGATAAGAAAATCTTTTAGGAAAGCAAGGCTATGTGAAATTCAATGGAAACAGCAGCTCTATTCATATCATTGTGGGAAAATTCTACTACCAGGGCTTCATCACCTTAAACGAAATTGGGTGAATACATCTCATATTACTGATTTACTGGTAGTCTCGAAACTCTACTTACATACAAAAAGTATGAGATGTTGGGTTTCAAAGAGTCCCTTAGTAACTTGATGCTGACATAACATTAATTTCGTCTTAAAAAGCGGGCGAAAGGGTTTCGAATATTGGTCCCACCAGACACTGAAGGAGGCTTGCACTGGACTTATGATTGTTGAATTCTGCCAAGATGACCTTAGCTCATAGTCCTACGACCCCTATGAATCAGGACTAAGCTGTTATACTTTATGTGACGGACATCATAATAGCCAGAATTCATCATTTAAGAATTATCATATAAGAATACGAAACCTTATAGAGGTCGCAGAACGGTAAGCTGATGTCGTCTTGGCAACAGTTCCAAATAAAAGGCCATCCTCCTTCGCTATCTGGTGAAGCCAATACACTACTTCATTCCATACTTTTATTAAAGCGAAACAATAGGTACGCTAGCATCTATCTCATCCATACTAAATTGGACTATATACAGAGGGTCACAGGACAGATAAGACATTCAAGACGAGCCAGGCTTCACTGAAATCACATTTATAGTGTGATTGTCAATTGAGCAAACAGGTATTTGCTATTTAAGTTGGCAACATTGTGAGTAAACCTTGAGACTGTCAGTCATATTCAACGAAGACGGTAGAAAGCAAACGTTGGCTGTCGGTGATTTGAACATTGATGATTGGGTTATGCATATAATCAGATGTATAGGCTAATCCCCTTCTGAGTGGACTGCTGCTTCAACCTCGTCTCATCAACACCACCAGCGAGACTCTAACCAAGGTAATGAGTATCGTAGCGAAGTAATGATTCTACAAAATTAAGTAACTTCGTCGATTGCAGTGGCAAACACATCTTTATTTAATCGACAATACCCCTATACAATGCAAGTTGGAAAATGTCTGGGTTATCCTGTATGTTGTATCTACTCTGTGACTCTCTAGCACTCATGGCTGTGTAGTGGAGTAGTAACGTTGCCAGTAGACTCATGACCCGACTTCGAGGTCCGCTGGAGGCGGGATCGAAGCTGCAGTTCAGGTTGGATGAGATGCTCGTTTTATAGGCACGATCAAGTGAAATTCACTGGCATTATGAGACTCATATATTGCAAGGTATGAAAATCTCAACTATCAGTCCCTAAATGAACCCAAGCAACAAAGTCTGTCGAAATTGTTTACAAATATTATCAATTAAGTAACTAGTACCGAGAACACGACAATGCCTAGAACCAAGTCAAAACATCGCGGATATCAAACCAAGATCGTGTAGCCCAAATTTTAGCAACTCTATATATTTGAAGGTATAAAGACCAAGATGGTGTGGCCTTTTGTGTGGTTGCAGTCTCCTTTCGTTGAATAGAAGTTGT